TGTAACAGTTTGCTCCAAAATTTAGCAGTTTAAAAGTATAAGCATATTATATTGTGATATCTGGAAGTGGCCTAGCTGAGTACTTCTCCTTAGAATCCTCATGAACTTGGATTAAATATGTCAATGGGGGCTGTAGTTATCCAGAAAACTGTTAAGTATACCAAGAAAACTGAATTATGCCTGTGTGCACACTGGCATGTGTGGATAGCTTAGTAACTGACAGCATCAGATACCATAGTATGTGGTGGGGAAGATGACAGTATGAACAGCAAGATTGATTGAAAGTTAATTTAAAGCTGGACTTGGTGACACAGGACTTTGATCCCATTTGTTTGGGAGGATAATGCAGGAAGATTGGAAGTTCAAGGCCTGCCTGGTCAACTTAAATTCTGCCTCACAATACAAAATTTAAATTTAAAGAGCTTGGGATATATATAGCTCAGTGATAGAGCTCTTGTGCCATGATGACCTAGGTTAAATCCCCAGTACTTCAAAAGAAAGAAAACTTAAAGAAATAAACCCTTAGTTTTCCTCCTGGAGCTAGGACTGCTGTTCCATGTTGGGGTTTCTTTTCTGGAGAACTTCTGCTTTTGGGAACACCAGGTACATTGAAGGCTGAGTTTCTCTTCTAAATCGGGATGTAAGAGGACCTTAGGCTAATGAGTGAAGGTTATACATAAAATGTCAAACATGCATCATGTTTTTCTCAAAGAAATCACAGAATATTCACAACTAGTATTTTACCTTTTTACTCAGGAAATTACAATTAACTTCTATTCAAGATACCCTGCCTCCCACCCTCACCCTCAAAGACTATAAATGTCAACAACAGGAACATTACATCATATCAACCTTCAATTAATTCCATCACCCACAAACCTTACCCAGAGACATAAATTCCAAGTAGTGTTTTGGTACCCTATTCATGAAATACCTGCAGGAACCTGTTAATCTGAAAGAGAGACAAAAGAGTCAAGGTAGAAAATGTTACTTGAGAACCCAAGAGATGGCTCAGTGGGTAAAGGTATCTGCCACCAAACCTGACAACCTGAGCTCAGCTTCTGGGACTCTCATGGTGAAATGAGAGAACCATCTCCTGCAAATTGTTCTCTGACCTTCAGATATACATTGGCATACATGTGCCCACCTACCCATGCACGCAAAATAATGTAATAAATTACAATAAAGTTTAAAATTAATTTCTTCAAAAGGAAAATGCTATTTGAAGAAAGGAGACTATTTTTAATATTGTCAGAGGGTGAGAGTAGGTATCTCAAACATTAAACATTAGCCAGGTTTGTTTAAAAGGGATACTCAAAGAATTTAAAGTCTCCTGGAACTGTAACTCAGTGGAAACTTTAAATGATAAAGGTAAAGAAACTTGCCAGTAAATAGAGCAAAAAGGTAAATGTGTAGCAGAAGCAAAGATGAAACATTAGATGATCAATCACCAAGTCTGATAAGCAAAGTTTCAGCAAAAAGAAAAAAAGAGATCCTTAACAAAATGATAAGAAAGTTCTCAAATATGAGTAACATATTTTTCCTAATGGAAAAATCATGTCAGAACTCCCAATAGTAAGAGAAAATAGACCTATTTTTAAATAATTCCACTATGTACATTTTCTTTTTGAGACATGGTCTCCCTGTAGTGGGGCTGGCCTGGAACACACTATGTAGACCAGGCTGGCCTTGAATTCAGATCTGCCTCCCGAGTACTGAGATTAAAGGTGTGTGCTACCATGCCCAGCTCAGTGTGTACATTTTTGTACATTATTGGCACCCCCTCCAGATCTTGAACATGTTCAGAGATGTTTTTAGAGTACAAAACAAATCAAGTGTTATTCTAGTCAGATGACATCAGACTTGTCAGAAATCAATAGAAGTAGGAAACAATTATCTTAAAGGCTGAGAGAAATTGTGTACAATGTAGCAGCACAGTTGAATTTGGACAGCTAGGAGGATATTGGAATAGTTTAGGAAGAATTAAGGATTTTCTGTGTTCAGGGAAGAGACCTATGGCTTCATATTTCGTAGTAAGAAGTATCAATGCATTCTACTTGAAATTAAATAAGTAATAGTAAGTTGAGCATGTTAATAAAAAGAGGTAAATGCCAGATCTGACCAAATGATTTGGAAATGTTGCCTTGGGGACGAGAACATAGAGTGATGGAGCTAGTAGACACTGTTGTTTTAGCAGTGTGACCCATAGACTGTATGAGTCTTATCTACATGAAGGTACGTGCAATTTTGTAAACTTGGAGGTAGTACAAACTATTTGAAAAGTATATCATCTTGATAAAAGTTAAAGCTAGATTTAAAATAATGAAGAGAACTTGTTGAAACCAGGGAATATTGAAATAAAATAAAAATTCAAAGATTGATTATGGGAATTAGTGCCTAAAAATAGCAAACGTACCATTGCTAGGAATCTTCTGGACCTTCATTTTAGGTTATTAAACTTTTATACAGGTAAAGGGCTCATTGATATGTGTTAAAAGTTGTTCCTGAAATGCCTTTAAAATTCCCTATTTAAATTTTACCTTCCATGAACTGTTTGTTAGAAGAAACAAATGAAACAAATTCAAAATTTCTGGTTAATTATTTTAATGAAATGCATACATTTTTGAAGTGCAGAATAGCATAAATATTGGTGTAGTACTTTATACTATAATAAATTTTAATAGGTAAGTTTAGTAATTTCTGTGGTTTTTGTGTAATTGCAAACTTGGGGATCTTTATTGTTCACGGTTAACACTTGAGCATTTTATGACTTAAATTTCTTAGATGTGACAAATTATTGAACTACTCTGTGTGTTATTTATAAGCTCATACGTATGGGTACAGCCTAATTACGTACACTTTTATTTAGTATATGAAAATAATCTAAGGAAAGTAAGTGAATAACATAAGACCTCTTTGAAAATAAATTAAAATTAAATTGGACTCCTGTGTTTAAGAGAACTGAAAGTATTTTCAATTTATTTTACTTTAAAATTGAAAGTGAAGGCTAAACACTGAAACATCACGTTTCTAAGTTTATTCTTTGAAAATTTCATGTATCTTGATCACATTCTGCCCTACCCCCATCTGCCTCCCTTCGTCCAACTCCCCCTGGACTCCCCCAGCAGAGCTCCCTCCTACTTCCTGTGCTTTTTTTTTTTTTTTTTTAAATATAGCCAGTTGAGTATAATTAGTACTGCCAAATGTACATGGGTGTGGGTATGGCCATCCCCCTTCCCTAAAGAAAAGTAATGCTCAGTCCTCCAGCAGTTGTCAACTGCCAGTAGCTCCGCAGCCTTGGGAGCTCCACCACACTTCATGCTGAAAGTTTTAACTGATTTGATCTTGTGTAGGACTTAATACAGTTAACCATGACTGCTGTTAAGTTCATGTGTGCAACACTTGTGCCATGTCCAGAGGACATCGTTTGATAGCACTCCTCCCCATCCTCTGGCTCTTATTCTTTCTGCCCTCTCACTCATGATGGTCCAGTGGTCCTTGAGTCTTTGCAAAAGGGTTTGATACAGACTTTCCAGCTACAGCTGAGCACTCACAGTCACTTATTCGGCACTTTGAACAGCTGAGTCTTTGCATCAACCCCTACCCACTGCAGTAAAAAGCTTTTCTGACCAAACTTGAGAATAATACAGATACATGGTTATAAACATAAATAGTAAGAAAGCAGTTTGAGAACATGACCATTTAGCAAAACAGCATTATCTCCCCTAGGGCTTAAAAGTTCCTTAGCTGTAGATTTTGACCATGTTTATGGTACCAGATGTGAATTCCCTCCAGTGGAACAGGCTTCAAGTCTAATTAAGAGAGCTGTTAATTATCTGTACAAACAGTCTTGCCACTGTTGTACCTGTGAGCACATTTGCCTCATAGGTCAGTATCATAGTATGCAGTGGTGGGTAAGTCCATTGATATTTTTTCTCTCCGAGGAGCCAACATAGCACCTTTCAGTACTGTGAATGCTAGCAAGCAGGGAGAGGTTTTTATCTTTAGTTGTTTTCTCCTACACTATATTAAGAAAAAGCAGAGAAGAAGAAACAAGGATCTGAGAGGAGAAAACAAGAGTGGAGAAAATGTGAGATTGAGGTCCTTTCAGAAAAAGATAAATCTGTGATGTCATTCAAATGCCTCCCAAAATCAGGAGCAGGATAGATGTGCACAGTGAGGCTTCATATGCATAAAGATGACAGAATTGTCAGGAATAGTGCTATTACATGTGTCGTTAAGGCTGTTTCTGCTAAAACCCTTTTAGATGTATAATTTTGAAAACATAGGCAAAACTGTTATTAATTATTGGCATTTGGTGCCTTGGGCTTGCTGTTAAGGCTGAGTTTCTCTATTATTTTTCTTTTCTGATAATTTGAGAGATTACAATTTTTTTTTTTTTTTTTGTCTTTTTGAGACAGGGTCTCCCTCTGGTCCCAGCTGACCTGAACTTACTATGTAGACCAGGCTGGCCTTGAACTGACAAAGATCCACCTGCCTTTGCCTCCCAAGTGCTGGGACTAAAGGCGTGCACCACCACACCCGGCCCTTTTCTGATAATTTGAAAAATTATAAGTTAGTAAATTTTTAAAAATTTAAGTATTCCATCCTTTCTGCCATAACTGTAATTTTTAGTTTCCAATTCCATCATTAAGAGGCAATATTAAAAGATCAAAATACCTTTATAATTTTCATGTATATGTATATGTGTCTATGTAGTATGTATATATGGTCTTGTGAAGTAAAGCCTATTTTTAATTCTCTTAACTGTAGGAAATTTTCAGATTATCCTAATACATTGTTTCTTATTTTTGTATCTTTATTAAAGGTGGGAACAGAGGAAAGATCCTCATGGTAGAACCTATTACGTAGATCATAACACTCGAACTACCACATGGGAGAGACCACAGCCTTTACCTCCAGGGTAATGCAGCACATTATGTATCTTTAGTCATATTTTTATTATGTGTAACTTTTAAATTATTCATAAGGGTAAATTCAAGGATAGTCTCTTCCTAAGTTTTAGACAGTGGTTTTCATGAAATAAGCTTCATATTATGACTCTCAATGGATATATTAACTGAATGACTATAATATGGTGATCCTGTTATATTTAAAATAAACCTTATGGTTTGCTATAATGTAATGTCTTATCAATATTTTACATTGGTAATTTTTAATATACTATCACAGGACCAAAGCCTGAATACTTCCTTCCATTAAAAAAATTCACAAAAATATGAAAAGAGAGACATTCTATTCTGAATACCAGAGAAGTGTGTTCTAAACATAGAGAGAATGTTTGAGGGGAATTCAAATAGTGTGATTCAACTAGCTATCAATGCAGTACGTATAAAGAATTATTTTTTAAAAACCAAACAAGATCAATTTATGATTAACCTTGAGAGAGAGCCTAGTAACACTAACTTTATTTAGTGTTTTTACTCCTTTAAAACTGTATAATTTTTGGTGTAAAGTAATACAAGTTTACCTATAATAATCATAGATTTTAATTTTGGACCAGTCTAATATTACTTATATCATTAAATCTCATGAAATATAATAGCATAGGTCATTATTTATGGAGAATCACACATACATTGTTTGACCTCATTATATTTTTAATAGTAAGTTTAAAAGAACTTTTAATTGGCTATTGGAAGGATTCCAAGATAATCATAGTATAAAATTAGTGACAAGCATTCACTTCATAGATGCTAAGTAGTAGAAAATGCAAGAGATAAACAGAACCTTGATGTCTGTTAGAATTCTCATTGGTAGAGATACAGGGAGAGACATCTGTTCTTCTGGAATTAAAAGAACAGCATGACTTTTTTTGAAGAATATCAGTACTAGCCAGTCATGGTGACTCATGCCTATAATTTTAAACCTGGGAGGTGGAGGCAGGAAGAGCATGAGTTCAGAGCCAACCCAAGTACATGGAGAGTACAAGTCCAGTTTAGTTTACATGGGTTCACCCTGTCTCAAAAGACCAAGGACTGGGATGTAGCTCAACACATGGAATACTTGCCTTACATGCTCAGTGCCCTGAGTTCTGTCCCTAGCAATGCAAATAAATAAAGTAAAAAATACTTTTGTTTTTGGTTATTTTATTATGTCTTAGACTTGATTTTTAAATTATTTGAGTGAATTATTTGCTACTTTTTAGTTTCTTATATCAAGAGATTACTTATGGCTCAAATTTTATTATTGTTTATTTATGGTAGTTGGGAAAGAAGAGTTGATGATCGTGGAAGAGTTTATTATGTGGATCATAACACCAGAACAACAACCTGGCAGCGGCCTACTATGGAATCTGTTCGAAATTTTGAACAGTGGCAATCTCAGCGGAACCAACTGCAAGGAGCTATGCAACAGTTCAACCAACGATACCTCTATTCGGTAATTAGCAAATTGAAAGATGTTAATATAACTTTTTCCCTTAGGTCCCTTTCCTACTTCAGTTACTTTCTAAAATATGTATAGTTTAAGTTTTTGTTTCTTTGTTTGTTTCATTTTGTTTTGGATTAATCTTTAATATTTCTACTATGGATAAATAAATAAACTTTCTTGAAAAATTTCAGACCTTGGAGTATTTCAGATTTTGGGTTAGGGTGCTCAACAGTAAATACAGTAATTAAGAAATTTTATACTGTGAAGGTTTATTTTGTTTCTATGTGATACTTTATGTTTCATGGAAACCTTGGGAATTGGACTGAATTAAGTATTAGGTATGTGTCAAAAATACTTTTTTTTTTCTGCTGGAGAGGGCTTGGCTGCTGTTGCAGAGGACTTGGGTCAAGTTCCCAGCACCCGTGTAGCAGCTAACAACCGTCCTTCATTCCAATTCCAGGTGATATGATCTCCACAGGCAATGTACAACATGGGTGTACTTACATGTAGACAATACACTCATACACATAAAGTAAAAATAGTAAGAATAATAAAAATAGGGCTGGAGAGACGGCTCAGCCGTTAAGAGCACTGACTGCTCTTGGAGAGGACCCGGGTTTGATTCCCAGCACCCACATGGCAGCTATGAGCCATCCTTAACTCCAGTTTCAGAGGAATCCGAAGCCCTCTTCTGACCTCCACAGCACTGCACAACACGGGTGCACTCACTTACATGCAGGCAATATACTCATACACATAAAAAAATAAATAAAATATTTTAAAATAATAAAAAAATACTTCCTGTTATATAAATAGCAGAACCTTTGTAAGTGGATAAAGGTTTAGTTACCTCAGTAGAGCACCAAATCTGGGATAAGAGTCCAGAACATGTAATCTGCTGGCTCAGTAGAGCCATCAAGTAGCTAAGTTAGGCCTTTCAGGGGACCTATCTTTTATCATGCACTGTCCTGCTAACTTTGAGCATAAAGAGCTACTGCACTCAGCTTGACTTCAGGGTTTCTACAAGATGAAAGGGAAAGGGAAATTGAAAGGAGAAAGCTAGCTTTCTTCTAGCAGGCCCTTGTACTCAGCAAGCCCCTGAATATTTGCTTAGCAAAGGATACCCTAATCTGAACCTTCTGCTTATACCTCATCAGCCAGTACTGATTACTCTGCCAACCCAGGTGCAGTGGACTGTTCTGTATGGAAGCATTGCTACCTCAAACAAAACTAATGGTTTAATTGTCAAGACAGATGGAGTGAAGATAAATAATGAATACAGTTAACAACATGTATGACAATACTATGAAATGCTCATTAAGATGTATGTATATTATCATTAAGAAATTATTTTGCAGGTAATGGTTTTTATACTTATTCTTTTAGAATTCATGAAAGAATGTTTATATTTTCTTCAGGATATATTTTTAGATTATAATAATATATAAGTATGCATTAAATATATCCACATATAAATATACGAGGGGGTGGCAGCTGGAGAGATGATTCAGTGGTTAAGAGCACTGGCTGCTCTTGCAGAGGACCCGGCTTTAGCTCCCAGCACCCACATGGTGCTAACAACTGTCCATAACTCCACTTCCATGAGAATCTGATGCCCTCTTCTGACCTCTGTGGGTATTGTATGACACAGGTACATTTACATACATGCAGGCAGTATGCTCATACACAAAAAAACTAAAAAATAAAATATTAAAAAAAATATACAGAAGATAATAAGATGAACATTTATCTCTGTAAAGATTATTCTGGGGTTTAATACTGGTTTGATTAATTAGTATTTGTTTTAATAAACACTTTGATAATTTTTCTATTTTTAAACAAATAATAAATATTGTCTCATGGTTTTATGTACGTTCTTCACCCATTTCCTCTCATTCTTTGAAGGACTAGGTTAAATATTGATATCAGCACATTATTTATAAATCTTTTATAAAAACTAATAATTATATCAATTGATTGGCTAATTTCACATCATAACATTTTTAGAACTTTGTTTCTTGAACTTGCTGTATTCATATTTATAGTATTTTTAAAAATTATATGATTGTCACATTGCTTAGCTTAGTGTATTAATATATTCTTGGTTAAAAACACTGTTTTATTTCTGCCTCCACCCCTTTTCTAATCAGGCTTCAATGTTAGCTGCAGAAAATGACCCATATGGACCTTTACCACCAGGCTGGGGTAAGCAGATATGGAGGTGGTAAAAATATGTGTAAGATATATATATACATTGTTATTCACTGTCATCCATATTTTCTGTTTTAGAAAAAAGAGTGGATTCAACAGACAGGGTTTACTTTGTGAATCATAACACAAAAACAACCCAGTGGGAAGATCCAAGAACTCAAGGGTATGTATATACTATAGTTTTACTTGGATGGATGGATGGATGGAATCAGTGGGCCTGAAGTACTTAGAAATATTCACTTTGTGATTATGATTTTTATCTTTCAGCTTACCAAATGAAGAACCCCTGCCAGAAGGATGGGAAATTAGATATACTCGGGAAGGAGTTAGGTACTTTGTTGATCATAACACAAGAACAACAACATTTAAAGATCCACGCAATGGGAAGTCATCTGTGTAAGCAGAAACCTGAATTTCTAAATGCTGCACTGTGGGGCTGAAGAGATAGCTCAGCAATTAAGAGCATTGGCTGCTCTTGCAGAGGACCCTGGTTCAGTTCTCAGCACCCACATGGCAGCCAACACCCATCTGTAACTCCAGTTCCAGGGAATCCAGTGCTGTCTTCTGACTTCTGTGGGCATTGCATGACATGGATGCACTTATATACATGTAGACAAAATACTCATACATATAAAAAATTTAAAAATAAATAAAATACTTAAAAAATAGATGATGCTTAGTAAAGAGAAAAAAGGTTTAGTCTCTAAATGTAGCCCCAAGTTTAGC